AGTCTCTTGGGGTCAAGTGATCCTCCTGCCTCAGGCTCCCGAGTAGCTGGGACTAAGGTGCCCACCACCACACTCAACTAGTTTTTCTATTTTTAGTAGAGACTGGGTCTCACTCTTGCTCAGGCTGGTCTGCACTCCTGAGCTCTAATAATCCACTGGCCTGAGCCTCCCAGAGTGCTAAGAGTAGAGGCGTGAGCCACTGCACCCAGTCAGCATTTTAGGTCTTTGTTCTTCATTTTATTTTTATGTCCCTATTTTATTAATATTGTCCCTGATCTGCTTTTGGCAGAGAGTTCCTACACTACTTGGTATACAAAAGTGGAAATTATTGGGCAGCGCCTGGGGCTCAAAGGAGTAGGGCACCGGCCCCATATGCTGGAGGTGGCGGGTTCAAACCTATGCCCGGCCAAAAACTACAAAAAAAAAAGTGGAAATTATTACCAATAACTCAGTGAGATAAAATAAACAATAATCGCCACCAAATTTTTCTCCCTTTGTTAATTATAATAACCTAAGAATCATATAAAATACATCAAGCCCTTATATAGCTAATGAATAAAGCAATTTTGTCTTTTGCATGAGGAGATATTCCATGTTAAACATTAAGAAATTATTCTCTTAAACAAATGACATGTACACTTTCAATGTAAGCTAATTTCTTTATCAGTGACCTTAGAAAGCCTTATCTCTTTCATGGCAAACATCTGATTACTGTTTTCCTGCTGAACCAAAAGGGCTCTGCCAAAGGAGCCCTCCCCAATCACTCTCAGGACCACGTAGTCATCCATGTTGGGCACCACACAGCTACAATCCACTCATGCAGTCAGCACAGGTTCTCCCAAACTACCTTCAAAAACAAACAATTGAGAATTAAATTTACTTTCAAAAAGCAAAATTAATTCAAAATAGCACAATTCACCAAGACAACAGCAACTTATTCCCTTTTTTTCTTTTTTGAGACAGAGTCTTACTTTGTTGCCCTTGGTAGAGTGCCATGGTGTCATAGCTCACAGCAACCTCAAAATCTTGGGCTCAAGTGATTCTCTTGCCTCAGCCTCCCAAGTAGCTGGGACTACAGGTGCCTGTTACAACGCCTGGCTATTTTTTTTAGAGATGAGGTACTGCTCTTGCTCAGGTTGGTCTCAAACTTGTGAGCTCTGGAAATCCATCTGCCTCAGCCTCCCAATTGTTAGGATTACAGGCATGAGCTACTGTGCCCAGCTTGCAACTCATTCCTTTTAAAATGAACTGGCTATGCCACTCTCCAAACATGCTACTTTATTGTAAGAACTGTTTAGGGTTGAAAGCAACTTGCTTTTTGCCCTCCCCACTTCTGTTAAATACAGGGCATAAATTTTCCTACCTACAAGGTAACAAATTTCCGTTTGTAAATGTGTCTTCTGGTCTAGTCCCTAGGAAAAAAACTCTTCTCAAGAGGAAAGCACCAACTTGAGTTGGCATAACACACTTAACTAAATAACCCTTGTCTTGTTTGTTTCCCCATATTTATCTTCCTATAATCTGTCTTAGAAGCCCAACCTTCCCCCTGCCTTTGTCTAGTTCTTTTTCCATAATTCATCACTCTTTGTTAAAATGGTATAAAAACTCCTGGTTTTAATACTTCTTTATGTTTATGCATATGTAATAACCTTTTTCTCCTGTTAATCTGTCCCTTGTTAGTCTATTATACATGGCCCTCAGAACACGGCCCCATATTCTGAGCCTAAAATAGTGGAGAAGAAATTTTCTTCTCTTATGGTACACTATTCATCAAATAGGTAGACACTGAGCTCCAATTCTGAATCGGATGTCATAATCCTAAACAAATCTCTCATGGTCTCTGCCGCTGTAGATGTCCCATGCAAAAATAACCATCATCTTTGACTAATGTAAGGTGGTGAGTCTTATAGAAAGAATTATGCTGGCCTATAGCAGAAATAATCCAGGGCAGTTAGGAAATGATATTAAACTGAAGCCTGAAGGATGAATGGAAGTTGGCTGGTAAAGAGGAGGAAAAGAATGATCAAGGTAGGGCAGTACCTGTGGCTCGGTGGGTAGGGCACCAGCCCCATATACTGAGGGTGGTGGGTTCAAATCTGGCCCCGGCCAAACTATAACAAAAAAATAGCCTGGCATTGTGGCAGGCGCCTGTGGTCCCAGCTATTTGGGAGGCTGAGGAGAGAGAATCGCCTAAGCCCAGGATTGGAGGTTGCTATGAGCTGTGTGATGCCACGGCACTCTACTGAGGGCAATAAAGCAAAACTCTGTCTCTACAAAAAAAAGAATGATCAAGGAAGAAGGAATCACATATTTAAGAGCTAAAGAGATTGTGTTTGGTTCCAGAAATTGAAAGAAGAAAGTAATAGGCTGGTAAGATATAAAGGCTACTGTAAGCTAAATTTAGGGGGCTGGATTTTATCCTCAGGATAATTAGTGGGCTGTGGCTGAAGCAATATAATCATCACATTTGCATATTAGAAAAACCACTCATTCAGGCTACTGATTGAATAGACCAGGTGGTGGAGAGGCAGGAAGGCCACATCACACAGTCCAGTTAGAAGCCTTTACAATAGAAAAGGCAAGACAACAATGAAATGGAATAAGGTAGTGGCAATGGGGATGAAAAAATGGGAAGGAAATAGTAAGTATGTGGTAACAATTGACAAGTTGACAAGATTCTTGGTGATAAATTTATTCGGGACAAGCAGCGGGGAGGTAATGTTGCAAGCCTGGCGTGAACTGGATGAACGGTGATACCATTTCCTGAGAGAGGAAAGGCATAATGGTTGTGCATGTGGCTTTTGGTATGTTTGATCTTTCCAGTGGGAGTGTGGCAGGGATGAGGCAAAACATGGGGGAGAGGGGAGACATGATTTCCTATTTGGACATGTTGAGCTGGAGGTGCCTGGGACTCAAAAGAGATACTAAACACACATCTGGAATCTTTGACTTCAGCTTCCCCCTCTACATGTCCAGGACAAAGCAGCTACTCGGACTGCTTAACACATAAGAGAAAATAACAATAAAGTTCCTGGGTCAGGTCAGGCTAAAGCAAGAGGATTCCTTGAAGCCAGGAGTTCAAGACCAGCCTGGGCAAATGTCTCTGCAAAAAGTTAAATAATTAGCCAGGTCTGGTGGCACACACCTATAGTCCCATTTACTCAAGAGTGTGTGGATGCAGTCAGCTATGACTGCACCATTGTACTCCAGCCTGGGCAGCAGAGCAAGATCCTGTCTCTAAATGAATGAATGAATGATGTTCCTAAGACTTTGCCTGTACACAGAAGGTTCTGAACTAAGTGGTAGCTTATTAAACCTTTATTATTAAATCTTAGAAAGGTGATGCATTTTTAATACAGAAATAAAAACACTGTAATTCATTCTTGATTTTTCAAGAAGCTTACTTAGTGCTCTGTCTCTAAAAACCACACCAAAAAGAACTATAAGGCAGAGAAAGCATGAAAGGTAAAGCAAAAGTTGCAAACTAAAACCCATAATAAACCTGCAAAACTTCCGGTTTGTATTCCTGCTTATCATAGAATTAACAGAGAATGCTAGAAATAACTTCTCTGTATAACCATTCAGATGCTTTGTCTTCAAAAACAATTCTTTCCAGGAGAATTTAGGTCTTTGGGCATGTTTAGGCAAGTAGAAGTCCTTTACCACTTTTCAAACTGACCCCTGGTATTACATGGCTTAACAGACCCCAGTTTTCCCAGGGGTCTTTATGCCATGCCACGGAGAGAGACTGAAAATCAAGGGCCACCAGACTTCTCTTTCTTTCTCAGATGAAGACTTTTCTTAGAGACTCGGTCCTGTCTGCCCTTACTCGATATTACACCCACCAGATCATCACACGACCCGAATATACTCTGAACGTGTCTACTATATCTAGAAGTCCTTTCGTGCGTCCATGGCACAAAAACCAAAACAATAAAACCCCAAAACCTAATGGAGAGTTTCGCAAACGACCCCGGAAAAGGGATCGCCGGTGAGACACTGGCTGAATGCATGAAGCGCACGCGCAGTAACCTCAAGGAGGCCGCCCAGTCCCTACTCCGGGAACCCGCCCCCCGCTAACAGGCCGCGTCCCGAGACCCGAGGGCTGCAGTGGGGCGGCGCTGGAGCGCGTCTGCCCCTCGGTCCCGCGCGGGCTGGGGACCTGCCCGCTCCCTGGCCACACGCCGCGTTCCGTCCTCCCGGGGCGCCGCTCACCCGCCTTCCAAGCGACACGCGTTGACTCCTGGCCCTGCCACGGGCGGTTTCCGCGGGCGCCCCGGCCGGGCGTCTCTCGGGTTGCGGGAAAGGAAGCTGCTTGGCTCTGGCGGGAGGCGCTGTTCTAGGAGTGGCCGGGCCTACGAAGAGCTCGTTGTAAAACTATTGTTCCACATTTTTCTATAACAATACTGATAATATTGAGAGAAAACATCACCACCCCACGCCCGCCCCATAGATTCAGTTCTGTCTCCAGTTTAAACGAACAGCCTGTGCAAGTAAGTTTCATGGGCTCAGCACTCAGGGCTCATTGGCACTTACCTGCGGTGTGACCTTAGAATAATGCTTTCCCACCTCCATTCACCAGATGGCCACTTTCTGCTCCCTGGAACCTGTGCGTTTCCTGCCTCGTGTGGCAAAAGGAAATGAAGACTGCGGATGGAATTCAGGCTGCTGATCAACTGACTTTAAAACAGGGGGAGG